TAATTGAAACTTGAAAAAAATAATAAACCAAAAATGCAAACACACAGGCATTAAAAAAAAAATGAATAAAGAAACAGAAAGTAAAGTATAAGAGTTAACTGAAATTTGCACTCCAACTCTCATATCAACCGTAAACCAGCTTCTTGAGAGCAGAAGCAGCCAGCTAAAAAAGCACCCCATGCTCTCAGCCTCTCACTATTACACGAAAAAATTAATCAACCTTCCGCTGCAAATGCAAGATATATAATAAACCTCAATTAGAACTAATATCGATGCCCCACCTAAAAAGACGTTAAAGAAAGAGGGAGAGAGAAAAGACATACAAATTTTTGGAATTCAGAAAAGTTGAAGTGCCATCTTGAGTTTATTTTGCTTCCATTTTGGGAGTTTGTAAAAGGCTTCTTTGGTCATTCCGAATTTCTCCCTGAACTCGGATGAGGAAAGGTATGTCTGGAGTGGAGAAAACAAGTTTTTATTAATTAGATTAAAAGTAAATATATATATATATATATATATATATATATATATATATATATATATATATATATATATATATATATATATATATATTTCATTTAGAGAAAGAAAAGGAAAAGGAAAAGGAAAAATAGGTACCTCTCTTTTGGTTACATCAATATCTGGAGCAGGGTCGGTGGATAGAGTTGTGAGACGATCATATGGGTGCAATGTAAGGCCTTCCTCATCTTCAACTTCATTTTCTTTTACATCTTCTTGAATTGTTAAAGATTCCATTTTACTGCTCATCAAATTTTCCTTGGAGTTGGATTCTGATTTTGGTGGTGATTTTGGCCTCGCTACAACATTATAACAACTTTCACTAACTTTATTTATTTTATTTTTTTATCAAAAGAACAATATTTTAACATAATAATTTAGTAAATAGCACAAGGACCAAAATTTTAAGAGAAAACTTATTGGGACCAAAAATGTAATTTACTCTGTAATATAGTATAATAAGACAATGAAAGAAATCTTACGTTTCACAGAACGGGGCATGAGAGGTTCTCGTGGCGGCGGTTGTTCAAAAGTGGCGGTTAGTGATGCTATGGCGTTGGATCGTGCGGCGGCATTTGGGGAATCGGCGGCGCCGGATTTTGGATACGGTTTTCTCACAAGGGGTGGAGGAGTTGACAGGTTTCTTGCATTTGCATTCTCAAATGTGGAAGCAAGTGCATTAAAGGCTGGAGATCTGCCTCTCACACGAACTCGATCTGGGCTAAATGACACGCTTCTAGAACGTTGTGGTTTTTCGGTTGCTACAGACCTTCCTCCGTGTGATGACACAGGTGCTCGCCTTTTTGGTTTCTAATCACACAATTATAAACACCAAATCTCCCTTCCATTAATATTCATCAATTTTAATTTTTAACAAACAGCCTTGGCTTGAATAAATAAATACGGAATTTGTGTCTTACGGTATTCAAGGTTGGACGACCTCCATTTTTAATTATAGATAGCTTCCTTTGGAACGAGTTTCCGTGCATCTGCAATCATATTAACAGATACAAGTCGTTAAAATTTTATATATTTTTATTAGCTTTAACAGATTAAACTCGTTAAAAACTATATATAGTAAAGCAACTTACTGAAGATTTGGTTGAATCCCATGTGAAGAAACGTGTGAAAAACTGTGGCTCGCTTCCTTCAGTTATGATATAAATTGGAGTTTGAAGAGATAATTTCTCGAGAAGGAAATCATGTTTCAGGAATTTCTGTTGAATTCCCATCTCAATGAATGAACTGAACTATAGATATAAATTTTTGGAAAAATATATATATATAAAAAAAAAAAAAAAACCTTTATTTTTATTACCTCTCCAATAACCAATGCTTGTGTTTTCAGTTTCTGATCAACTTGCTGGCCTATCCAAACAAAGATGCTGGAATGACAATCAAGGATAAATATATCTTCAGTCATCAAATCATCCTGGCTGAAGTTGTATATCTCAGTGACCTGTATCAATGATATAATTAACTTATTAAATTCGGTTAAAATGAGAAACTCATATGAAAGAGAAAATTTGAGGTAATACGGACCTTCAGATCTCCTGAACCAGAAAAGTTTAAGAAAAGAGAAATAAATAAATTAGCATATTTGTAGCAAGTAAGAGATTTAAGAAAAGAATTCAATTCATCATGAAATTTGGTGTTTGTTTCAACCTTTTGAAAATGTGCATGTGAACAAATGGGGATCACTTTCAGCATCTCTAGCAATTTTCTGACTTGGGTATTCAGATTTTCCACCTAAAATTTCCCAAAATTGTTCGGACTCTGAACCCTCCTTTTGTAATTTGGACTGCATATTTGGCTGCATAAAAGTAAATCATAATAAGAAAACATGAACAGTTTGATACATTGTTAACAATCAAGTGGTTTTCAAAACCTTAATAACATCCAGTTGCCTCTCAACAAGTTCCTGGAGTTCAGGAGTTGTAAGATTTCCAATCCATGTGAAGAGAGAAGAACCACTGTGTAGTATGTAACAGTAGGAGGAGTTCAATGATGACGCCACCTAAGCCAATTACAAACTAAATTAAACACTTGAATAAATAACAAAATCTTATAAAGTAAACACAAAAAAATCAAAGAAGCGAAGGACTTACAGGTTCAACTTGGATTGCTTGCATGTTTTCAGGTCCAGACCCTTGAACTCTAAATAGTGCAACCCCATCTTCTTTATAAGTTTCATCCGGAAGTTCCTTCTCTAAGATATAATTCTTGTATCCATCACTTAAACCCCCCTGAGAATTCCATATATAAATGTAAATGATCAACAAAGATTTCATCTCTAATCTATGTTTTTTAATTTTTATAATAGCATCCGAATTAAAGCACACCTTAAAAACCAGAAAGCTCTGAAAGATCGCAAAGAAAAGAACGGGTTCTCTTCCTTCGTAAATTTGCAACTACAAATCCATGAAATCAACCAAATTATAAGTATAAGTATAAATAAATACAAGGTAATAAAAGAAATGTGAGAGTAAATTAATGATCAACCTGAGCAGCCATAAACTTGAGTGACTCAACCATCTTGTTTGCCTGTGAGCTAGCTGAATGTTGGTCTTCCTAAAAGACATATTTGGTTAAATATATAAGGTAGAAATAAAGATAAGATAATTTAATTTAATTTAATTGCAAAATAATTAAATACCTCAACACTTTGTTTTCCAAACCATGTCCCTATAAGATATTCCTCTTGATCTTCACCAGGATATGTATACTGGAAGATGTAACATTCTCCACTGTAGAACTTTGACTGATCAGAAACTGGAAGGAGAGTCTTCTCTTGCCCATTAACACGCCAAACCTGTGAATACAATCGTACATAAACAGATTTAATATATTTTAAATAAATAAATTTAATATTTTGATTTTTGAGAATAAGATATAATGTATTTTTTCCACTACCTGCAAATTTCCAGTGCAATCGATATATGGTTGGGGTTCCTCCTTTTCAGGAGCAGCTTTAAGAAGACCCCTCACATTCACCCCTTGGCGCTTCAGAAGTGCTAAAACAAAAGATACTCCAAATTTAGTAAATTACATTTTTGGTCCCTTAGTATAGCTGTTTTTTGCAATTTTGATCCTTATCTGAGATTTTTGTAGCGTTTTTAAAATAACTTTTTTTGTCTCTGAATATAGATCATTTTTGCAGATTTGGTCCCAAAAAATAGTCATTTTATTTGTAAAAGGGACCAAAAACATTACAAAATTCTCAAAATAAGGACGAAAGGTGCATTTTGGGATGAAAATGTAAATTACTCATAAATTTAAAGTGTAATAATGTAATTACTAACCTGCCACCTTGCCTCTACCATCCTCAGAGACTGCCACCTCAGCTGATTGAGGCCAGGTGTCAAATTTTGAGCGGAAAGCTACCGTCTCAAAATTTTCAATCACACGAACAATATGAAGTTTTCGTCTTTCTATGCTACGAAGATATTTCTACAAATTAAAGTCAATAATAATAAATGAAGATGATTTAATATAAAAGCAAGACACATGAGAGAAATGAAAATTTAAAGAATTAAATTTTACTTCTGCAGCTCCACTTGCAGATTTTCTTTCATCAAGAGAAGTATTTCTCCCCATCCATACATAAATTTCAGCCCCAGAATCCAAAAGATAGCATTTATTCGTGTCTAGCAACTCCTTTGTCAAAGAATCTGCTACAACAGATTCTGCCTCCCCTTTCTCCACACTTCAATACAACAAAAAGACTTTGTCAAAACTCAAAACCACTATGTATTCCATCAATGTAGAATCAACTTCATTAGAGATTCAGTTCTATGGTTATGGGAATAGCAAATTACCAAAATAGCTGCGTGGGAAGAGCATCAACACTTTTGGTGTCATCTGTTGCTGTTTTCCTTGGAAGTGGAGCAAAGCCACCAAAGAAACCCCAAAACTCTCCGGTTTCAGCATCAGACATCAATTTGCCATCCTCTATTCAAGAAATAAGATAAAATTTCAATTATAAAAACCATTCATTTATGTAGCAATAATGCAATATAACATCCACTTCACTTACCAACAGTGGCTATGTCACACTTCCCATCATGATAAGTGTCTTTGATATGCTGCACAACTTCTAGTGCTTTAGCACGTTCTTGAATGCAAGAATTGGAACCATTAAATTGGAATATCTTATTTGCAGTATCCAAGATAAAAATGTCATCATGATTTAGTGAGGATCGAGCAAAAGGAACCTGCATCAACAAAATACAACTCAGACATTGAAAAATCAAGATTCACAATTGACTTTCTTCAACTTATTTGTGACCCAAAAACCTCATGAATTAAGAACATAAACATACCTCTTTTACATGAACTACATGCTTTCCTTGACAAGTAAACATACGAATCTTGTGTTCTTCAAGTTCAACATGCTTGAAACCAGAAGCAACTCCACCTTCTTGAGGTATGATGCATGGTTTAAAGTAAGAAAGGAACCTTTCTGTTTCATGTCCTTGTACTTCACGATATTGAACAGCACGTCCTCCAAGAGCTGCATCAAGTTCAACTGTCTTCAGAGCTGCTGTTCCAGCTTCATCCTTTGGAAAAGAGATGTGATATTAGATAGTGAATAACTAACTACATGACATATAAAAGAATATTATGAAAAAGAATATTTTTTTTTCAAGTGAAAACACACCTGACTTGTATCTTTACCAAGCCAATAATGGATGTCATGACGTAAAGCACCACTTTTCAAGGCAATTGTCTGTAAAAGAAATGTAAGATGCATGAATTGGTCAACAAAGATAAGCATAAATAAGCCTTTCGGATGATTTAGTCAATAAAGATAGGTAAAAAAGATACTAGGCTCTTGATGTAATAGAAGTAATTATAAGTTTGGTCACTTTACAATAGAATGAATGTTTACTCAAAGAAATGCATATGGTAATACCCCATAGGTTTGATAAAATAAATTATGAATATGTTAATTTATGTTCACGGAAATGAATAATACAGAAAAAAAAAAAAAAAAAGTAATAGAGAAAAAAATGTGTAACTGTATTAGGATTAGAGAAACAACCTTCAAAATAACATAAGAGTCCCCTGTAAAAAATTTCCCATAAGAAGACTGTGGAATGGCAACTGGCTTGAAATTCTCAATGCGCCACACTTCAATTCCTCTATTAATAGTTTAGGAAAGAACAAAGGAATAACATCCATGACATTAAAAAAAATGAATCATAGAACATATAATCTACCCCTTTTTCAATCCTATTTTTTACATAAGAAAAAATAAAATAAACGATGCAACTGGAAGAAATTGACTACATATATATTATCATACAATGGCAATGCCAAATTTTCTACTAAAATAAAATGATAGCATGATATATTAAAAGACAAAGGATACGCTTTTTGTCCAGCTCCTTGAAAGGCTGGATCCAAATCTCTCATAGAAACAGACATACTGTTTTTTACTTCAGTATGTGGCTGTTAAAAGCCACAACCTGAATACTAAGATGGAGTGCCAAGAACCCCTGAAATGTGTTTACAAAATCAAATTGATGAGTAACAATTAACAAGATAATAGAAATGCCAAAGTGTTGGTTTATACTTTATAGACATAATTCTTATCTAAAATCCCACTCTGTTTACAGATTTTTAGCATCCATACATGTTCTCAAGCGATCATTATTTTCTACATTAAACGGATTCCCCTTAAACCGATAGAGACATAATTTGAGAGTCTTAGATTATATGATCATAATGTGCATTGTTACATTCTTTAAGGGTCTTTACAGCACTAAAATTTAAATATAAAATAAGTTCAATGTGACTTTCTCAAACAAACCACAAGTAAGCTTCCTAGCAATGTGGTGTATTATGGTAATCCTACAATCCATTATAGAAAAGTTCATGAAGAAGTTCAGCTGCGAGAATCAAAGGTCATGAACTAACATATCAATATGTTTATTCCACCACACACAGGCTCAAGAAGACTATGATTTTTAAGCAGCAGTTGCTAGAGAAATCTTTATAACCTATCTACATCAATTCATGTGGCAAAAGGTCCTCTGTTATGAAACTACTTTGATTGTAACTTCAAAATCATAATCATAGTTAATGGGAGGTAAATTGCAGGCTACTAGGCAGCAAGGGCGAGCAAACTGGAGCAGACTTTTAAGAAGCTGGAATCATGCATTGCACATAACAAGTCCATTGGGAATTACAAAAGAAGAGTCAGTTTTCTTCTGATTTACAATCAGATAACTCAATTCCATGTGCAGGCCCGAAAACAAATGCAAAAAGCCAAAATTCGCACAATAATAATATATGTCTCCACCTTACACAGACCTCAACGCATTAACCCAACATGATAACGATTTATCGATCCACATACCATAATAATTAGCATCAGATATCGATAGCGTTATATGTTCCACCAACCAACATTTCCCCAAATTCTATACCAACATTCTCGAAAGGCACATCTAAAGCTAATACGTCAGATGAAAATTCCAATAATAAACTTCAGAACTCGAGGAATATCTTTACAGAATTGGACAATTAGACATCAAATCAAGTCAAATCACTTGAATTATCTAGATCAGTTCAAAGATACAACCAACAATTATTTCAGCATAACTCATGTAATTGGAAAGCTGAACAACTTGATGAAAATAGAAACAGGGAGAAGTAAATCCTGGTTGATGGAAACATCACATACCTTCCCGACGAATCTGATAGCCGAAAAAAGAACTTTTTAGATCCAATCCGTAAGTGCAAAACTGAGAAGAAAATTAATGGAAGACGAAGAAGGTTGTTGCTGAGAAGAAAGTCGTGGGCGGAAGGAGATGAGAGAGGGAAGAGAAAAAGGGAAGTTGGGGAGAATGATGAGTGACAGACGTGCTTATCACTAATGGCGATGGAAGCTCAAAAAGTGAAGGAAGAGAGAGTCATAAACACTGAAACAACTGTCAAAGTTAACTACGCCGTTTCTTCATAGAATCGCTTAATTCTGTCCGAATTTTTTTTTAATGCTTTCTTTTATCTAAAATTAAAATGGTAAATTTTGATATGTTTTAAATTTACAATAAAAATGTATAATAAGAGCTATAGAATATAAAATAAGCATGACCAAATCATAATATATGGTAATTTTGTTAGATAAAAGTTGTTACTAAACTTTTTGTAATGGTTAAACTATTACGATATTTACTTATGAATATATAATTTTACAAATACGCGACTTATATCGTGAAGTATAAGATAATAAAGTTTGAAAGTTTGGTCATTAAAATATTAAAGAATTTAATCAATATAATTATGAAAATACCTTCCATAAATATTGGTTAAAAACGGACACTTTACCTATTAAATTGGGTGGGCTCACAAAATAAAATGTTAAATAAATGAAATTAAATATAATAAATTAATTTTCTTTTACTATAAGATATAATTAAATAATTAACTTAATGGGATGAAAATACATATTATATTTTGTCTTTTTTGTTTAATTGAAAATTAATAAGAAGAAATGAAATGTTTTTTATTCGAAGTTTGTAATATTTTGCAATAAGGATGACGGATCGTTGCTTGATACCACTACTCCGTTGAGTAATTTATGATTCTTCTATTTTTAGTGCTAATACATTGTATAGATTTCGTATTTATATTATCTTTTAAAATTAGTTGTTTTCCAGAAAGCTATTTTTTTAGGAATACTTTTATATACATTTATTATTTTATTTTGTATTTCGAAGGCATTTTAAACGCTTTCAACTATTTCGTTATGAATCTCATTTATTTTCGTTTGACTTATATTCAATGAAAAGGTATATTGCTGAAAATAATATTTGATTAAAAACTACAGTAATTTATTTTTGTTTATTATCAAAATAGTAGTAACTAATTAAATAAAATATTTATCAATAATTAAATATGGTATTTTGAATATGTTTTAAGTGTTATTTATACATCGTTGTTTTTGTTGCATTGTTTTGGGACCCTGTGCATGATTAAGTATATAATTGGTGTGTGTTTTGGCTTTGAATCATAATTTTTTGGAGCTTAAGGTATGAGGATCAAGCAGCATGGCTATGTGCTTCTTTGTAGGAATCACGATTATGAAAATATCATAAAAAGAGCTTAACCAGTCGTCGTTTTTACTCGGGCCCTAAACGTGTAAGTAGGTGTTAGGGATAGGTTGCAATTTTTTGGTTACTTTGGGAAATGGTGGAATGTGATTCGTGTGAATATGACCTATAACCATACTAATATTGATTTCAAGGCAAGAAGGAATAAGGAAGGAAGAAGGAAATTAATGTCGATCATACTAATATTGATTTCAAGGCAAGAAGGAATAAAGAAGGAGGAAGGAAATTGATGTTGATCTATTAGAAGTCTTGCAACCAATTGTTCTTTCTTTGTGTAGATCAACTTTATAAGTTATTTACTCATGATAATTGGCCTCCAAAACATTTATGTACTATTCTAAACATCGTATAGTTTCGTTATATATATATATATATATATATATATATATATATATATATATATATATATATATATATATATATATATATATATATATATTGTAACTACATTCATGGCTTGGAGCTATAAATTTATAAATAAGTGATTTTTGCATATGTTGATATTCATTAATCTCCATTGGTTCTAATATGGGCATTAGGCTCCTTTGATGAGATCATATATATATATATATATATATATATATATATATATATATATATATATATATATATATATATATATATATATATATATATATTAACTAACATAAACATGTTTCGTGTTGTTATATAGTAGGTACATTACTAGTTGGTTATTTAAGGGGTGTTTGTGGATTGCTTATTGAACTCTAAAAGTGTTTTTGGGTAAAAATGTTTATTGACTTATGGTAGTGGTAAAAATGAGTTTTTTGTTAAATGTTTGAATTAGCTTTTGTGATAACAAAAATCAATAAATCAATTAGTGAAAAAGTGTTTGTTTTAAAATCTTATTTTTGAAACTATTATGGTTAAAAAAACTAGAAGGTGTTTCAAAAAGTCATGTTTCACAAGTTTTTCAAATCTCCTTTTTAAAACTAACGGAAAAGTCATTTTGTAAAGTGCTTTTGACAGACATTTTTTTTTATTTATTGACTTTTCACAAAATCAATAAGTCAAAAAGTTGTTTTGAAAACCAATTTTGTAACATCTCGATGTTCAGGTACTTCTAAATTCATCCCTATAATTCTATTTCATGTCAAATTGGTCCCTAAGTCCAAGAATTACGCTTTGAAGCCTTAGTGGCAATTTCGTAAATTAGACAGTATGAGTACGCCAAGCGTGCATGTGTGTACATTAGGCATACACTTATGTACGTGGGGCGTACTATTGTCAGGAGGAAACCTTAATTTTTAGGCTTTGGGTGGTATTTAAACAACATTATGGCTCATTTCTCCTCACCTTTTCAATCTCCACATCCTTGAGACATTTTTGCAAACCCTAACCCCCTTTAGTGTGTGTTTTGAGCTCAATAGTGTGTTTTTGGTGTGTTAAAGGAAGAAGAAGAAGTTGCATCAAGGAGCGTTGAAGTGGAAGCAAGCTTGTGTATTTTGGGATCTTTGCCTTCTTGCGTAGCTCCAGAAGGTACAAAGTCTATACCTTGATGTCTTGTTTGTTAGATCCCATCTTGGGTGTTTTATGTTGTTTTTCTTGTCCCAAAGGTCCCATTTTGTGCATGGTTGATTATTATCGTTTTAGGTTATCCTTCCAGACCCTATGAGGGGTCCTAAGCCATAAAAATGAGTTCCCAATTGCTAGAAATATTTCATGCATCTTGTGGAAGGTCTTAATGGATTAAGATCTTATGTTAAGCACTCTATGGACTTGTAAGGTCATAAAGTTGGAAACTTTATGACTCTAGGGTGCATTTGGACCCTATATCTAAGATATGGGCTTGAGTGCTTAAGCCATTAAGCACTTAATGAAGTTTTGGGGTTGCTAGGTTATGCCTCGTGTAAGTGGGAATATGCCCCGCGTACTCGTTGAACCACCCTGATGGTGGTCTTCTGCAAGGCTTCGTGTACGTTAAGCGTACCTCCGGAGTACACCACGTGTACTCGCATGGGTCAGCCTTGTTAAGTTTACTCGGTTGAGTTGACTCAGCTGGGTTAACTCCATTGACTTAGAGAGTTTAACTAGTTGACCAAGTTTGACCTTGAGTGCATTTTGGGTATTATGGGGTTTTAATGGTCATTTGGTGGAAATATGTATCGTTTAAAGAGCTGAGATTCGAAGTCGGACCTCATTAGTTAAGTTCAGTTTGCGAGGTGAGTTTTCCTCACTATATTTACGGGTTGAAGGCACCAATGTTGGCCCATTGGATTGACATCCTGTTATGCATGTTATTGCATTGTAGTGATCTATTAGATCGGTATTATGGTATATAGTATGATGATATGCTTAGTAATTTGCAGATCTATTTGACTAGTTGTAGACTGCTATATGATTATATGTTATATATGCACATGTTTGGTCGGTGGTTGAGGCTTCATTGCTTTGTGCGTAAGCCACCAGGCATGGGCATACCAACCCGATGGTTGAATGGGCCCGAGATTATTCCATCCCGAGGATGATTGGACCCATAATATGTTGGCATTCTAACCTGATGGTTGAGGGTCTGGGGTATTCTAACCCGAATGTTGATTGGACCCATAGTATGTTCGTATTCCAACCCGATGGTTGATCGGACCTATAATATGTTGTTATTGTATATGTGTTATTTGTTTTTGTATTGTTACTTTGGGGGAACTCACTAAGCTTTGGGTTTACAGTTTTAGGTTATGTTTTAGGTACCTCAGATGATCGTGGGAAGGCGAAAGCGTGATCATGCACTTCATTGTGTTTTGATTTGTGATTTTGGGAAAACTCTAAGATTAAACATGTTTTGACAACTAAATTGTAAACACTGATGATTGTGGATTGGTTTTTAAAAAATTAAAATTTTTCATAGATTTTGTGGATGTTACAAATTCCAAACTCACCCTTAGTAGTTACTAGCCATTAGCCATCTTGCTTATGTAATGTTCGTGTTTTGTAGTAGATACATTGTTGGTTTATTATTTTTTTAACTAAAAATTAGCGGAAACTTTTATATTAACTATGAAATAATTACTTGATATTAGTTTTCTAGAAGGTATGTCATGGCGTGCGCCAATGCATGTCATGGCGTGAGGCGCAACTCCGTCGTTTCGAAAAACCTCATGGTAGTACTGTTAGGCATCACATATCGTAAGGCATATTATAGCATGCCATCGCACGTTATGATACAAGTTTTTCTCTTTCGGGACACTTTTTTGTTATTTGTTTGTCTTTTCTGATCGGACATACATCATTGACTTTTGTTAAGTTTTTGTTATTAGTTATAGTTATAACACATCTAAAATTTTGATATATTTGATATAAATGTATATTATTTAATAATATAATTATAAATTAATACAACATCGCCACCTTACATCATGCCTTGAAAAACATCATGGTCTTGACATGGCTCATAAAGCTTGATGTTTGGCGTTGTCGTTACATCAAGTCACGCCTAACGTCTTTTAGAACTTTTATTGGTATATAAAAGATTGATACAATATATACTGACGTGTACGTGAATAAATATTGATAACAATTGAATCATCATAAAGTATATATTAAAGAACAAACTGTTATCTTTCATTGCCTAAAGAAGCACGCAACCAATATGTTGTATAATAATATAATAATGAGAAACATGCAGTCTCTTTGTTGGTAGAACAATGGAAAGTGAAAACAAACATACCGTCTCACCACTCACTATGTATTGTATAAACTAAAAGTTAAAAGACACTAATATGTCTACGGGACTAAGCATCTTATCCAAAATACTCATAATGCCTAAAATACTTATTAACATTTCGATAAATGTTATGATGCTATTTATATAGATGATCCCATCAAAAGAGAGAAAAAATAATTATT